TGCAGAGGCAGAAGGTGTGAGTTGGCCTCTAAGGAGGGTGGATAAGGGGCCCAGGCACTGGAGGAGGGCGGCCACTGCTGGAGAGTGGGCCTGCCAGCCTGGTGAGGGACCCCTCGGCCTAGTCAGATTCCGGCCCAGCTGCTGGTCCAGGGGAGAGCGGGGCTCAGGCAGGTGTGGGGCCGTGAAGTGGGGGGACAGGCAGAGGTGATGAGGGTGGGCCTGGAGTTCAGGGAAGCAAGGAAGGGCGGTGGATAGGCGACAGGACCTGGGTCAGAGGTCCCGATTGAACAAAACCAATGTGCGGACCCTGGCCAGAGTGGGAGAGGCACCAGCCATGGCCAGAGCCCACTGTGGGGCAGCTGTGGTTGCAGTTGGGGTGCTGGCTGCTGCAGGGTCGACGGGGGACCTTGTGGGGCCACCTGGAGGGTCCTGGACATTGGGCTCGGAGCACGCTGCCACCCAGGGGACCCCTGGCGGCCTGAGTGTCGGTGCAGGAAGCCTGGAAACGGGCTGCAGCGCGGGGCCGGCGGCTGTTCCGGGCCCGGCCGGTAGGTGGCGCATGCGCTCTCGCCGCGCTCCGCCCGGGAGGCCCCCCTGGTTAAGGTGGGAGCAGCCGACCCCAAGGGTGGCCCGAGCCTGGGCTGTGTCCCTGGCAGGGGAGATAAGCCCTGCGTTGGCATACCCGCTCATTCCTGTTGCCTAACTAGAGGCGCAGAGCTGCGCCCCCGGGCTGCCCCTCCAAACCTAGGGGAGCAGGTGCACGGAAGAGGCCTGTCACCTACGCGCACCCAGAGTGACCCGGGCATGGATGCTGGGCGCAGGGAGGTGGGCGGCCGGAGAGAGGGCCACTGCGAGGGACCTATAACGGCCCGTGCCCTGAGCCGGGGGCGGCAGGCTCAGGTGAGGCCACTGGTGAAAGGCCAGCTGGGCGAGTGGAGGCGGAATGGCCGCTGTGACTGTCTGAAGGAGACGCCATCCCCAGCCTCTGCCCAAGGTGCGTTCCAAAGCTGGTTTAATGGAGTGACTGGGACGACCCGTCAGGACTGCAGCTGGCAGGGCTTGTCCTTGGCGGGGGAATTGTGGGAGGCCTTTGTGCTTCCCAGGGTTTTCCCGGGTCTCGGAAACAAACGGGGACGTGCAGGTGCTGAGTCGCGGGAGCCCACGGGAGTCACAGTGGGGCTTCCGGTTCTTGGGGGCTGGTTTTCTGGAGTGGGTCCGCAGGCCTTTCTTCTGCGTGTGTCGGGATGGACTTGAACCCCCACCCTTTCAGTTAGCAGCCCCACCCGGGACTCCTGCTGCCAACAACACCAACGGTTCTGAAGTGGTGACAGCATCGTATGGGTTTAAAAAAGGAGAGGTGTGCCGTCAGGTGTCCAGCTGCCCCGCCTTCCCGGCCCCCGGGGGCCCGATTCCATTCACTTCTCTCGTATCCTCCATTTTCTTTCTAGAAACACACACGTGAAAGTCCCTTCCCCTTTCCTGCTTTCTCTCTGCCCACACTGCTCGCCGGCTGGCGTCCCACTGATGTGTTCCACTAGGAGCCCCCGAGTGTACCACACGGTGAACGTGCTCAGCTGCAAAGGGCTGGTCGCTGAGTCCAGTCTGAGGCACCTTAGAAGAAGGGCCTGCTGACCTGCCCGTGAGAAACCGACCCTTGGGGTGTGGGGGCCCACTCTGCTCTGACCCACACGGGTCCACGATGCAGTCAACTGGAAGGCACTGTTTGTTTTTCCATCTTTCTATTTATGTGCGGGTATGGTCTGTGTAGTGGTGATAACATTGGGCTGCCAACCAAAAGGTTGGTTGTTTGAACCCAACCAGCTGCTCAATAGCAGAAAGATGAAGCAGTGTGCTTCTGTGAAGACTGACAGCCTTGGAGACCCCGTGGGGCAGTTCCACTCTGTCCTCTAGGGGCGCTGTGGGTCAGAATCACTCCACAGCAGTGGGTGTGGTTTGGGCTTTGCTTCTGTGAAGATTGACAGCCTTGGAGACCCTGTGGGCAGTTCCACTCTGTCCTCTAGGGGCGCTGTG